CTCACACACTCTTGCTTCCTCTTTCCACCCTTTAGCCATAGGATGACCCTTACCAGGCAACACCATGCTCTTGGACTTCCCAACCTCCAGAACCATGAGCTAAATAAACTTTAATCCTGTATAAATGACCCAGTTGGTAGTATTCTGTTATAGCAACAGAAAACAGACTAAGACAAGGATCAAAATGGCACCTGCCAGATAGGTTCATTGTGAGGATTAAAGAGATATTTAGAACATGCCTGGAACCTATCAAGCACCACATAAAGGCCAGCTGTGGCTATCACTTTTGTTGTTGCTGCTAGTATTAGGTTTAAATGAAATACCTCATGTAGGTCACTTAGTAGCCTCCCAAAAAACGACTAGCTCCATTTTGCAGAGGAGGCACTTGCATAGCTTTTTTATGTGTTAAACTTAGCTAGACTACAGTCCCAGTTATTCAATTTTCTGGGAAGGTACTTCGTAGGTGTGATTAAAGGTCATAATCAGCTGACTTTAAGTAAGGAAGATTGTCCTAAGTAACCTAGGTGTGCCTGGTTCAGTCAGTTGAAAGGCCATAAGAGCAGAGCTGAGGCTTCCTGGATGGAAAAGACATTCCACCTAGGGATACCACTTTTGGCCCATGCCTGAGAGTCCCAGACTGCTCATCCTGGAGGCCAGCCCTGCAGATTTCATACTTGCCTAGATCTCACAATCATGTAAGTCAACTCCTTCCAATAAATCGCTTAATATATGTTTCCTAATGGCTCTGCTTCTCTGGTGGGATACCTAGCTGATATAACCTCTGAGCCCTTGAGAGGGTGTAAGAAACTTGCCTAGGACTTGTTCTGCAAGAGGTGGAGAGCTAGAATTAGGATTCAGGCCTCCTGACCCCAAGCCCTGCTCTCTCCCATTAACTATAGAAGACTGGCTGTGTGGCCAGGGGGTGGCCTGATCTCCAGGGCTCACAGGTGAGCAAATATTAATTACTTCCCTGCCATTACCCCAAATGCTCCTGAACTTCATACCTCATTCCCTTTCCATGGCCAGCACTGTGAGCTGCCTTCCAGAATAAAAGGCAGAGCCATTGGCTGGCAGGACAGGAGGAAGGGAACAGCCCTCAAGGGCACCAAAGCCCCTGATGGTAGCCCAGGCCCCTGCACCTGCCTGCTCAGAGGACGCCTTCAGGAAAAATCCTTACCCCCAACATGCTAACTTTTCTTTAAAACAAGATGCCACGTGCCCCCACTCCCTTTCAAAAACCATCTATTCCTGGTGTCCCACTGGGGCGTTGCCAAGGCAACAGTAAAAGCCAGAGGCCCAGCAAACAGGGCTACTTTTCTTGATGGTTCTTTGGGGACTTCACTGCTCTCAAAGGCTATGCAAGCCAGCTTCATCTTCTCTGAGCACCAGTGAAAAAAGACACTCTTCCTTTTCTCTTTACCCCAGACCCAGACCCTGGGGGCTGAGGATTCTAGCTGGAGGAGCCAGAGAAGAATTGCGGAGAATCCCAAGTTCTGATTGTAGGGTCAAAGCCAAGAGTGGATTCAGCACCCCCTTTGCAGTTTGGGCCAAGAGTCAGGATAGTGAGGTTCCCCAAGAAAGAATCCAGAGCTGTTAACTCCTTGAAGGTAAAGGTAGGTGATTCTTCCAAGGGGAATGGTAAGAGCTAAGAGCTGCTGTGTCTGGTCACATCAGCAAACCACATTCGAGCCAGCCATTCTGTAATGCTAGGAAGTTAGATCACGGGACAGCTAGGGGTGGGGACTCTCATTCCACTCCAAGGTTGCACGTATCAACAGCAATCACCACCCTAGGGTCCAGCCCTTCTCCAACTCATCCCTATTTGTCAGTGTAAGTTGGCATCTGTACTAGGTACTACAGCATGTGATGGCAGGTCAGGTGAGTCTGCAGTGGATGTGAGAGTGGCTAAGAGGAGCAGAGGGGACACATGGACTGCACATTTCATCCTTGTCATGCTTTATTGACCCCACAGAGCAGGCACGTCAAGTCTGCGCCAAAGCCCCAGTACCTTATTGTCTCACCATTATTAGCCATACTGCAAGAGAGAAATCGAATGAGATCGCTGCATGGGGTATGCGTTCTAACTCCTGGCCTCACAGACCCTGGGATCCTGAAAAAGTGGGGAGGGCCAGCAGGCAGGAGTTTGTTCCCTCTTCGTGCCCCCCACCTCCATGTGCCATTCTACAGATGTCCAACCTGCCTCCTGATTCCGCCGGAGACCTCGGACTGAGCCAGGCTCAGCTGACCTAAGGCAAAGTCCAGGAGGATAAGGACAGCCCAGAGGGGTGAGAGCATCACAGGGTCTGTTGCTGGGTGTTGGGAGGCCTAGGGAGTAGAGGCCATCTTCACATCCGAAGAACATAGCAGGGATTCAGTCACAAGGGCCTCCTGGGCCGCAAGCTCAGATATATTTCTGCCTGAAGCCTCAGCGCTCACCCATCAGCAGCTGGAATGTTCTTCCTGCCCCCGTCTGCTCAAGCTCACTTTTCCAGTGGAGAACGGTCCTGACTGCCAACTGTGTACAGCCACCTGTTTCCTGCCGGGCTCCAAATCCCTTACTGTTTTTCTGTGTTCTATGACACTACTTCAAACATATGGTATAATTATCTGTTACGGCTTTTTCTCACCCCATGATGGACTATAAGTTCCTCAAAGGCACTTGTGTATCTAATATTCACATCCTGAGTCCCTAGAGTATAGTATCTGGCTTATAAGAAGCTCTCAATAACTTTCCTAAATGAGGTGGATCTTTAAGAAGTCTCAAAATTGAGCCCACCTTAGATAAATATGGTTTTGTGTAAAAGGGACTAGGCATGTACTAACCATACCCGTAGGGCTCATCTGCCTTCCATCAAGGTAATACTCCAGCCTATTTGGGGTACAACTTTTGGTTAGTACCAAGGTCTCTGATTTGGCCTTTCCTGCATGGCCTTTGGCATAATAACTTTTAATTTATCTGGTGTTCAAAACAAAGGCTGCCGTACATTGTTGTACCGGTTGTACAGTGCACAGGTGAGCTCAACTAAGGTGACACAAAGAGGTAGAAATAGGGCCAACCCTCCCTAACCTGTGCTTCTGTGACCTGAAGCTGTGCCAGTGCGTAAACGAATGACTTTGTCTTCCACGAAGGTGCCACTGCTCCCCGGACCCTGTGCCCACTGGACAAATCTCAATAGAGGTGAATGCTTCCAGAGTGTATGTCATGCTTCAATAAAAATTAAGTTTTGATTGGGGGCAGTGGGCGGGAAACTTGGATCTAGAAATGCTTCCAGGAAAGGGATGAGTTGATGTTGAATGGACCATAAAAAAATGGGGTATGGGGTGACCTGTAGATTTCTTCCCTCATAGTAGGGCCATCCTCACTTGCTGAGGAGGCCCTTTCCTTGGAGTGGGGGGATTGTCCCAGTAGGAAACCTGGCATCAGAGGGTGCCCAGCGCACATTGTGCGGTGATAGAGCAATGCTCACTCCTAAGTTAAGAAAATACTTTCCTTTCCTAGATCGCTTACATTATCTTTCCCAAGATCTCTGCCTGGGCCAAGACTTGTACCTCGTTCTCCTGATGAGATGCTCTAGTGATGATCATAATGACATTTTGTCCACGTAGTCTAGGCTGTCTGGGTGCAGTGTGTCCAGCAGGCAGGGTCCACCAGGACACAGATGGCAGAGTCTGGCTGGGTAATTTGTGGATGCTTTAATGAAGGGACTATTTTCCAAAGCTCAGCAGAGTATAAGGAAACAGTAAAGGATAGGGCTGTACCCAAGACTCACTTCCTTAGGCCAGGAAGAAAGGGCAGTTCAGAACCTGGAAACCAGAGACAGTGTGGAGAGGGCCTCCTGGCAGAGGCTGAGGCCCTTGCTTTAGAAAATATCCAGACCACAGAGTTGCCACAGGGGAAAGGGAATAAATCCTCCCTCCCTCTTTCCTCCAACCTCCTAACTTCCTGCCAGAGCTCCGCATTGACCAAGCCTACATGGAAGCCACACAGGTTTGTTTCCATGGACACAGGGCAGAGTGGATAAAGGCGGAGAGGGATTTGGAGGGGAGAATAGAAGATTCACCCTACAATGAGTCAGGTTGCTAGAGTCTGTCATTGCATCCAAGCTCACCTGGTTTATTAAAAACTGATGAGCTTGTATTATTAGCCAGTAGAAGGGACAGGAGTGGATCTGGCCATGGGGGTGATTTCACCCAGGACTTAAGGACTCTTAGACCTTGCAAGATGCTTGAATGCTGGCTTCATCCCCTCCAGCCAGCCTGCCTCAGGGACAGAAAGCTCTTCCATCCAGTTCCTGTTAGGAAAGAATAGGGAGAGCTCCAAGTGGTCAATTTGTGAGTGGAGTCTGTCCCCAGAGCCACCCCAGGCCCAGAGGACACATTGCCATAATTAGCTCAGCCTGTGTGAAGGTCCACCCTCAGTCCTGGCTGGGGGTGAGGTCTATTACCAGTGTACAGGTACTGCCCATTGCTGAGTGTCTATTCCAATGATGCATTCCATTACTTGGTCAGCAGCCACAGGATGAGTTGGGAGACCCATGATACCCACTTTGAGATGGACCTGAGCTACAACTCCATGGATCACCTCACTCCATAATCACCTCCTCTGATTGCTAGATTCCAGGTCTCCTGGAATCAGTGTCAGTTCAGAGCCAGGGTCTGGCAATCCCCAAAAAGTCTGATCTTTCTCCTACTCCCAGTGCACTGTGTCCCTAGTAAATAGCCTTTCTCGAAGGCAGCTATGGCCATGAGAAAAATTCACAGGATAAATGTGTGGCAGTGTACCAGGGTCCTTCCTCAGGGACACCAGGTCTCCCTTTCATTCAAGGGGTTCTGGGTCTGTACTCTGGCTAAGTCTGGGCTATTGCAAGGAGCAGCACAAAGGGGCAGGTGCCAGGCAAATAAACACGCTAGAAGCCACTTTCCATGGTAGACGCACAGCCAACAGGAACACGTTCCGGCACGCATACAGCTGAACTAAAAATAACCACAAAGGCAGTGTCTCAGAGTGCCTGGCACATAGCTGCATTTATTACAAGCATTACATACATTATCTCAGTAGGTGCTTTGACTCACAGGGAGATGTTAATAATTCCTCAAAAGCGCCCTGTTTACACGAGAAGCCTGAGGTTCAGCAAGGGTAAGTAGCAGGACCACCTGGCATGTGTATGACTCGGAGGCACTGAGCCTGGAAACAGACCCAGTCCCCGCCCCAGGGAGCACTGACCTTCCCCAGTCCCCGCCGGGCCCTGCAGGGGGGCCAGGTGAGACAGTTGCAGACGGGGGGAACCCCACGGGGCGCGGGCTCTCTGAGTCTGTTTATCAACGCGATTCTTGGTTGGTGAGGCTGACTCATTTGAGCTGCCAGGCAGTGGACTTGAACTTCTCAGGCGATTTCCCCAACTGAGTGACAGACCTTCTAGCTCTGCGGCCCGGCCTTTAAGAGGTTGTCTGGGCTATGCCAGCGAGCCATGCACCTTGAGCTCCATCCAAACCGTTCTCTCTTTGGATGAATGAGTCGGCTCTCAGGCTGACTTGGCAGGATTAGAATCACAGCTGAGGCTTGATTGGTTCCTTACAGCCACCAGCTCTAGACACGTTTTGAAAAACGAGATCCGGATTTTTATCCGAAGCTGGAGCCATTCTAATTCAACCTTTGCCACTGCTGGTTAAGAGATGCTGAGGATCCAGGGAAGGATGAGACTGCCTCACTTACAGAAGGAGAGAGCTGTTGCCATCCTCTGATGGGGCTGCCCACACAGTCCTGTTTTAAGGAGGAAACAAAAAGAATTGAAAGTGAAAATCACATTTAAAATGGAAAAGGCTCTATGGATTAAATATTTCACCCTGGAGTGGGCAATATTTAACCCAGATAATTAAGACCCCCTGCTCCTGATGTAAGATTTTATTGCATGTTGGAGTCTATAGAGACTCCTCTTATTGTTTGGGAAGATGATGTCAGCCAGTCATTAACTCATATTTATCATGAACCTGCATGCGCCAGGCACTGACTGCCTGAGGAACGGTGTCCCCAGGAACAAACGTGGAGCAATCAGGATAGGCTGACAACCGTTACAACATAGTGGCTTGAAGGTTTTTTCTCACCGTGTGAATCCAGCGTAGGCCAGCTGGGGAGTCCCCACCTTACCTCCTCTCTTCAGGACCTGGGCTTAGCAGCCACTATCTTGAAACTTGCCTGTCAGTGCAACAGAAGGAAAGAAAGTCCTGGAGGCTCTCTCACAGTTCAGGTTGCAGCCGGGAAGTGATCTGTGCCGCTTCACCTGTGATTCATCGGCCAGAACTAATTACATCACCGCACCTACCCAGGGGACCAGGAAGTGCAACCTTGACACGCCTGGAGGGTGCAGAGGTGGGAGGGGCTGCTGCACAGCTTTGCTGACCACAGGCATACAGGATGGGTTGGTGATGAATGCCACCAGTGCTCCGGGGAAAACGGATTCATCAGATTTGCTCAGGAACCCCCTAGGTTGGCAAAGTTCAAATTTTTCTTTAAGACAGTAAATGCTGTGAGATATCTTGTGGTGTGGGTTGTAAATCTGCACAAAAAGGACTTAGAACACAGCAATGCCTGTTACATTTTTTTGGAGGGTGATGGAGGACCCTGTAGGACCAGCATGCTATGGAAAGCATTTTAGGAGATGCTCTGAGGATTACCAGAAAAGAACTTAGCACACAATGCCTACCACACGATGATAGGAACTACTTAGCACAGGTGATCTCCTATGTCTTATTTGATAACGTCTACTTGACCATTTATTTGCAGATAAGCCAAGTGACCAAGGACACAGGGATACTAAATAGTAGGGCTCACGCCTCTGGGTTACTTGTGAGAATCATAAAACAAAAGTTCTGATACTGCTCATTCTAGAGCATAACACAGAGGTGCTCACATGCGAAGGAGCTCATTTGAAAATTGGCACCTGCAAACTGGAACATCTACTGTTGTGGCTCTTAATTGATAGGATTTTCCACTTGCAGAAAGGGAGAGTAAAACCTTTGAAACCTCACATTCTTTACATGGTGGTGTATCGCTTCCAATCACGACCTCTTTGTCACCGTGGTTTCAGTTGCCCTAGAGCATAACTGCTTTTTCCTCAAGTGTCCTGTTCAGGGATCTCACAACAAGTATGCTGTGTATTCCTGCTGTGGTGTGCTCCTACAGCTCTCATCAGACCATCCCAAATGTAGCCTGCACAGAACGTAGTAAATATCTAACCACATGATGGAGGAACAAATCAAGATATGCAGAAAAGTATTTTAAGTGGCCATTATTTCCCTTAACAGGTGCATGGTGATAACAATGATGACGGTGATGAAGATTCCCTGGAATATGCTCCAAAGTCTCCTGCCTGCCCACTGCCCCCCATTCCTCATTTGGGCAGCAGCACAAGCCCCTGTGTGTTTGGATTGAATGACCCAGCAGTAGGGGGATGGTGGAGAGAGGGGAAGGCGCTGATGTGGGGTTAGAATCTCAGGTGTCCTGATCAGAGTTCTCATTAGGGAGCAAAAGGAAGTTGTGGATCCTGCACTGATTAGCCAGGGACTCGAAAATGCCTCATCCACGACTGCCCTGGGTGTCCCTCTGAGCTGAGTGGGCCTTGGCTAAAATAACAGAAAAGACAAGAAAGGAATTCAGCCATATTATCCCTTGAAGATTCTGGAAAGCACAGAGTTCTTAGGAAGCACTAACCTGGTTCACTGAGGATAGAAACTCTTCCAAAGAGAAGAGAAATAGAAATTGCCTTAAGTCATAAACCAAGAGCCAGCCCTGCTGTGGATCCCCCAGTTCACATTCTTAGAGCCACTGGACCCCAGGATGCATTTTAGCAACAGGCCCTGCCTGAGTTGGATGGTCCCACAGCCTCTCTGAGCTCGTGTCAGGGTGCTGGGGACCTCAGATCCATCTCTGAGCCAGGAAGTTCTCCTTCAGGGCCAGTGCAGGTCATGAGACTAATGTTTGGGGTAGGAGGAGCAGAGGAAGAGAAGGATGCAAGAGCCTCACTGGCTCTCCAGGGCGCAGACTCTGACTTCATCCCATCATTTAGGTTTTTGGGGAATGCTGGAGGACTATTGTCTGCAGACGTGGCTCTGGGGTAGAGCCATGAATGAATAAAGCAAGTGAAAGTCCCTGCCCTCTGCCCCGTGGGGCTTATGCTCCCCTGGGGGAGACACAATAGACATGTCAAATGTTTAGTAGTGGCAGATGGTGATCAGTGCTAGAGGAGAAAGCAGGCCGGAGAGGCACCCGCCAAGAAGGTCACATCTGAGCAGAGACACTGGGACGGGAGAAGGTGGGGTGAAAAGAGCTGCTGGTAGAAGGAACAGCAGGTGGGGGTGCCACGTGGGCACATCTGCACACCATGGAGAGCACAAGCCGGGCACGCACATAGGAGCAAAGCTGACCGGTAGGAAGGACCTGGCTTCTAGCCCAGGCATCCACAGAAGGGTTGAGGAGAGAAAGCAATCTGTCCTTATTTACATTTTAAGAGGATTTAAGACCCCAAGTCACAATGCAGAGAACGGAACACCCCGGAGTAAGTTTTTCCACATGTAAATTAAGCTTCAATCACTAAGAATTAAAATTCTTACCAGGGCTCTGGCCCATCTGTTTCCTGGATGAGCCCTGGGTAGGCACCCTGGGGGAAGCCAAACAGAGCTGAGCAGGTAAGCAGGGAAAGAGGAGGCATGGCCTCCAAGACAGGCAAAAAGCAACCTGGCTTTGTGTGGCCAGGTTCAGGAACATGACCTGTGGCCATGGTCTGCTTTTGACCAGCATCTCCCATTAATCTCTGGGACAGCTGCTGCAGCATCACCTGAGTGCTCTTTAGAAATGCACCTTCTCGGCCCCATCCTAGATCCAGACTAAACCTGTCTTCATGAGCCTTCCAGGTGGAGCTCGGGAGCCCCAATACTTGGGCAGCTCCTATGGAGCTGGAGGGAGCAGATTTGCCTTTGATATAAAGAACACTGAGCACCTGCTAACTGCCTCGTTTTCCCTTATTGTGTCCATACACACCGGTGAAAAAGGGCAGCATGGTTTCTCATTTTTAACTCAGATTCCTTGGCCATGAAAGAGAAACAAAAATCAGCAAATCTGGTCTCGGTTCAGTTGAGATCAAACTCTTGGTTTGGTTTCATTGCCTTCTGGAAATGGTGTTCATCTACTTTCTGGTTCCTGGATCCTATTCAAGCTGCACAATATAACTGAGTCAGCACATAAAATCCAAGAAGGATAGTCTCGTATTTTAAGGCAAATTCCTTACTTGACCAAGGTTGTTAGGGGAACGGCCTCCGAGCAGGCCTGTCCACAATGAGGAAGACCAAGAGCAAACAGGGTATACGGCCAGGACTGTCGACCTTGCTCTCTGCTTTCAGAATGTGGTTTACAGGCAGGAAGACGAGGCATCAAAGCAGGTCTTGTCCAACCTTTCTCAGTGAAGAAAGACCAAGATACATTTGTAAACGTGCCATAGAGATTTTAATGGAAAAAATTAGAAAAGTGCATTGTACAACACCACATTAAATGATTTTTTTTCTGTAAAGACATTGTAAAATATATACAGGGCTGCGTACCACACTCGTTACAAAAGAAAGATGCAAACCCTTGTGTAAGTTACATACTCTACATGGGCTGGATGTCTACTGGGACTTGTAAACATTGGTGACTAGGTTTTTTAAATATTAGGTAAGCTGTGACAATAATAAATACATCTGATATTTGATGGTTGTCTCATTCTGTTGAAGTTCAGAATGGCATTCTAAGGCCATTTGTGAAGGTGTGCCGTCTCCGCAGACAGAGAAGGCCAGAGAAGATGAACAAAAGAAAACAAACAGAAGCAGTAGGCTCCTTTTGAATTTGGTTCTCTGTGGATGAGTTTGAACCGCTGATTTTTGCCAAATCTGATACAGCTTCCCACCAAAGGCCTGACACCTTGACCACAGTAGGGCCTGTTCAAATCCCACTCACCAAGGTAGGAAGGTGGGTCCCTGCTAAGTGTCCGGGACCAACCATTTCATCCTCCTGGAATGTGAACACATAGTCCCAAGGTGATTAAGCCCATTTCTGCTAGAACTTTCCTGATTTCCATCACCCTCCCACAGGGGGTGCTCTGGCAGGCCTCTGGTAGCATCTTCACAAGAACCAAATCCAGGTCCCGTTACTGCACAGTCACAAAAATGCCCAGCAATGCTGGGGGCTGAAGAGGAGGAACACAAATCCAAAGACCCACAGATATCCAGTCAATGCACATGCACACACATACCACAAATGGATGCACGAGGGTCCATATCCCCATACCGCACCCTCCCCAGGAGGCACCCTATGAGTATATGCCAATCATTTTGACGGGTGTGAGTTCGGGACTAATTCAAGCTTAATTTCTTCCATGCCTGGAGTCACGACAAGTTTTCTTTTTTTGATGTTTTAAGGTACAAGGATACACAGTTGGCTGAAGTCAAAATTACTGTACATCTAAGAAGGATTATCAGCAATTTCTTGGCCTGCTGGGAATGGACTAGAAGTTTTTTCTCCTTAATTCAGTGGTTTAAATTCTACTCATCTTTGATAGCTCTGTCCCGTGTCTGTTTAACTGCAAGCTGCCTCAGCAATGTTTTTGGATATACCTGATATCTTCAAATCTCCCAAGTGGGGCTAACCTGTTTTCTTATTTAAATTTTAATCAATGAAACCAACAGTTTTGCCTAACCGAGTAAAATGTCTATCTAGTGGACATTTCTGATAAAGCAGAAGGTGGACTGAGATGATCTCACAAGGTCCTTCCCCCCCCACCACCCCCCACCACCCCCCACCACACACACACAAAACGGCTATCAAAATGCTATTTGTGGGCTGAACAAACAAATATATAATTAGCCTTTTTCAGGAATGTGTTCCTCTGAGGAGCTATCAAATTATAGAGAAATCGTGTTAATTGTGGGTTCTGCTTCACTGGGTTCCCACTAATCGTGTTTTTCCTTTCATCATATTTTTCCACCCAACTTCTAAAATTCCAAGTGAGAAAGTAAAACAGTTGCTGAGACTTGTTCTGGTTCCCATTCCTGCTCCCTGCTCCCTGCTCCCTGCTCCTTGCTCCCTGCTCCTCGGCCTTGCTTCTAGACTCCATGCACTAGGGAGGCTGTGGTGCGTTGGCATCTTAGTCCTATGAAGGTAAGGACTTGATTGTCTAGCTCACCATCCTGGTCCCCTCTGAGGCTGACAGGCAGCACATGCTCATCATGCTCAGTATATAGTGGCTGGAGAAATGGCTGAATCAGCAGCCGGAGTTGCACAAAGGGGCCCCCGGGAGCTGCCGGGCCCACTGTTGCAGCAGCTCATGCCTCATAGATGTGTCATCTGGGAGAAGTGGACTTTGGTTCCCTGGATCATGCTTTCACCCACACCACTGTCCAGGCATCTGTTTCACTGGGGACTGAGTGCTGGGGTCATCAAGGAGACCCCATCTGATGGGAAAGTCAAGGAGACCCCATCTAATGGGAAAATCCATCAGAAGTGCTCTGTGGGGACAGTCTCCCGTGAGAGGAGAGGGAGTCTACAGAACTAATCTACCTGAAACAGGTGATGTCCTTGGGGGAGAGGATCTGGCCCCTGTGTAGGAACCCAACCCAGTGCTGGAAAGACTGGGCCCTGTCTCTCCAAATTCCCCCACTGAAATGTCAGTCCAGTATGTGACTACACTCACTTCATCCTCACCAGTATCTGCCTGGAAGGCACCTGCCTCTTATCTCACCTGGCCATTTCATCTTTTGTAGGAGGGGAAAAATGACTTGCCAAGGCCAAGTGGTCCTCCTACAAATCAGGAGGGAAAGGAACCAGGGTTGGGTGCTTACGAAGGCCCCCGATGTCTACACCACCCAGTGCCTGAGTGGCTAGAAGAGGCAAGGCTGAGAGCTCAGATTTTAAGAGGCAAAGACTCATGGCTGAGGCTTACAAGACCTCCCTCCTCAAAATCAAGCACTGCTCTCTGGATGCATAGAGGTCTCCAAGGAACTGACTCCCCCTTCTGTTTCCCAGCTGGACCCTTCAGGTGCCAGGACCAACCATCACCACATTGAGGGAGGTGCTGGTGACAAGAAGGACAAGCCCTGCTTCCCCACCAACTCCAGATTCCCTGCCACCCTGTGAGTCCCACACAAAGCTTCAGACAAAACCCAGGCACACCCTGGGGGCAGATTCCCACCCAGTGTTTTGGATGTTTTATCACAGCAGCATCTGCAGAACAGGGGTTTCCACCCCCAGTCCTTCCAGAACAGTCCTGTCTTCCAGATCCTTCTTTCACAGATGGGGAAATGAAGGCTCGGGGAGGGGGGCATGTTTGCCAGATGTGTTTGAGCATCGCTGTTGCCTCTCCAGCTCCTTGTCAGATATACCTCCCGGGACAGGCGGCCAGCCTGGGTCACACCACAGTGTGGGAGGGTTCAGCAGAGGCTCTTCCACCCCCGTCGCAGAGCCCTGTCCTGTGCAGGGGCTGCTGCAGGCTTTGTGGGGCGAGGTGGGGGGATGCCTGCGCCCTCCAGCCACATTCTACTACACAATGTACTGCATGCCGTACCCAGCTCAGGTCCACCAGCCCACCCTTCAGGCCAGAGACCCCGCTACTGTTGGTCTCAGATCTGCCCTCTGAGGGCCACTGTTATAGAGAAAAGACGGACAAAGCTCTGTGTGATTAATAATTAACAAAGGCTTCATCTGAACATGGCTCTTGGCTTATGGTTTTGTCTGTGGTGCTGAGCCCAGAGCTGGGCTTTTGAACCGGGTGAAGGAACTGGCAGACTCAGCACATCTTTTTCTGGCTGACTTGGTGCTCCTTCCTCTCTGATGCCTGCCCATGTGAGATGCCCACTCCCCCCACCCCCGGGTATATATTTGATTGACCTGGAGATGGCACCCCCCTCCCTCTTTCTCCTGAGACATGCCCCCCCCCTCCCTTTCTCCTGAGACATGCCCCCCCCCTCCCTTTCTCCTGAGACATGCCCCCCCCTCCCTTTCTCCTGAGACATGCCCCAATCTATGTCCCTTCCTTATGGCAATCTGAGCGACCTGCCCCGCCCCACCCCACCCCACCCCACCCCACCCCACCCCACCCCGCGAGCTTCAGGAGAGGTACCTGGAAATGTACAGTCAGGACACCTGACTTGGAGTTCCAGCTTTGCCACTTTTCTGAGCCCTGTTACCCCATATGCCAAATGGGAGTGCTCTGCGCCCCCACACCACCACCACCACCACCACCACCCCCCCCCCCCCCCCCCCCACCACCACCACCACCACCACCCCCACCACTGAGCATGAAGAGTGAGAGTGTGCCAATGGGAAGAAACATCTTCACTTGCACAGTGCTACACTATAGGCAATTCTAAGAGGTTTGGGCCCCAGCTGAGCTGAGCTGACCGGAGGCAAGGCCCTTTGCTGGGCCAAGTGGCCCTCAAAAGGCAGTGGGGGGACATATTCTCCCATGAAGCAAAGAGAACCCTGGAGTGAGGACAACCCAGAGGAAGACACAGCAGGGTGGAACAGCTGCTTCGGGCCAAGCCCAAAGGTAAATGCTGGGCAGGAGCAGGCCCTAATCTCACCAGGAAGGGGTGAGCTCCAGGGGCCAGGCCTGTGGGCTGCTCTGCAAATACTGATGACTCATAGCTCAACTGGCTAAGGCCCTCTTCCTTTAGAGCAGGGTACCTCATGTGGTGAGGACGGGAGGAGAGCCTACCAAGAAATTAAGCAAAGATTGCAAAGGGCTGTTGGTTAATTAAGGATCCATATGTCATTAAAAATAAAGCATCTGAGATTCACTTGCAACAGAAAGTGTCAGGGGACAGATTTTCCAATGCAGCTGAAGTCAGCCCAGCTAGTCCTCCCAGTCTGTCCTCCCCAGACCGGCGTTCTGTCCACAGTGGACACTGGGGCGGGGTGAAGTGGGCCTTGGGAGCTTGGCCAGACCCTTTAGTTTAGAAGTTAGAAAACTCAGGCCCAGAGGAGTGGGGTGCCTTGCCCTAGGTCACACAGCAAATCACAAAGAGAAAGTCTGAGTTTTGATTCCACCCACGTTCCCTAGACTTGACTTCTTTCCTGTATATCATCCCACCCTCACCCCAGCCTCTGCCCTCCCTCAGCTTCCGCCACCCAAAGGCCTCATTTCAAAATCAAGCTCATATTTCTAAGTCCTGATGGGGACAGCTTTGTACCCAGAGCTTCTTACCAGGAGCTGCTACCTCTGGGTCACCAGCACTCACCATGACAGTAGGCACTCCTGGATCATCTGACACCCTCAGAGGACCCTGTGCTGGGTGACAGACCCACAGAGAGGTCTCATCTCCTGAGTGTGGGGGGAGCAAGTACCTACAAGGCCTTAGCCAGCTTCAGTCCCAGAGGGCACAGATGCAGGGGGTCATGATCACTGTTGTTCATGAAATCAATCAGGAAACAAGTTCCTCATGCCAAGTAAGCGTAAGAACTTATTTTATACCATGTTTTCCTTTTGTTGGTTTCATACTAGTCTTTGGTAAAACTGGCAGAAGACTTCGTCAGGACAAGACCCCAGGATGCTTAAGTGAAAGACCAAGATCTTCTCCAGAAAGTTCCCCATATGCAAATTTGAGCTAATGTCCACCACCTGTCAAAGAAAAACAACCCCACCCAACCAAGAGGCTACCACAGAATTCAAGTTTGGTGAGACTCCAGGATCTATTTTACGAATTTTATGATGGGAGGACCTAGGAGGGACATCTAGATGGACAGTGCCTCCTGGAAAGCCTGAGACTCAGGCTATGGTGGTTAGAGTGCAGGACCTTAACATAAACTAACTTTGTGGGCACTAGGGAGCCAGGGAAGGTTCTTGAGCAGAAGAATGGCTTGAATGACTTAGGATGTGGCCAGCTTGTGGAGGGCCTTGAGATTTATGCTGTCTGATCTTTCCCAAGAGTGGCAGGATTCCACTAATGGTGGGATGGAATCTGTGCCCCCTGTACTGTCGCACTCCCGGGCCTTGGCCCATGCCTTTGCCTGTGCTGTGTCTCTGCCTAAAAGAGCACCCATTTGGTCCTCTAAGGCTCACCTCAATGATTTCCGAATCCCATTTCCCCCGTGAAGCCCTGCCTGAGTTCCTCAACCAGACTTGATCACTTTTTTTTTCCCCCCATAGTTTGATTTCAAGTCCAATGCCCCCAGAGTAACTTCCTCTGGGAGACATGGGCCTTGCTTTTATGAGAAATGCAAACATGTATAAGAACACTGGCGGGGTGCTTGGCACAGAGCAGGTGCCATTAAATGTCATCACATCACATCTAGTCTTCACAGGCACCCTTTGCAGTAGGGGTTATGTATAATCTCCAATTTAAAGGTGAGGAAACTGAAGCTCAGAAAGGCAAAACCACCACCCACCTGTGAATGGCAGAGGCTGGTCCCAGGCGTGCGAGATGCCAGGGCCTGAGCAGCATCCACACCCCTACGCTGCTCTCTGGAGGCGAGAAGAGCGTGTGCTTGCCTCTCTCAAGGCCCCAGAGCTAGGGGTGGGCAGGAGCCAGGCCACAGAGGCTGGGGGTCCTGAGTCACTCATGGTGCATGTCCCCATCCCCTCGCAGCCTCCACCAGAAGTGTTGCCACAAAAAAACAGTGCAGACCCAGTTTCCTGATGACATTCCCATCACGGGGCCCAACTTCTTCAGAGTGACATCGCAAGTATGCTCCTGTAGTCTGGTGCCATCCCTGTCAGCCGCCTTATGAGAAACGCCTGGCGTGGCAGCTTCCGGCCCTGTTGTATGGGGCACACTCCACTCTGCCGGGCAGGTGCTGTTGAATCACCAACGCTATGATGACCAGTTTTCTTCTCATAGATCTGGATTGGTTTCCAGGGATGGTGCAGAGGTGTGCATTGAGTTACCCTGTTTCCACTTCAGCAAGTTAAGACATGCCTCAATCACGGTGATGAGTGGCCATTTGGGCAAGATGCCAGACATCTCAGTGCCTTTATTCTCGCGATGGTCCTTGCCTCTGGGGCACTGCCCAGTGCTTGCTGCTCCTGTGGCCGGGGCCACAGAAGGTTTGCTCCCCAGTGCGGTCGCTCACGACCAAAACAAGGACTAGGGGAGCCCAGAAGAGGACATTGCCAAGTCCAACAGGGAGCAAAAGGGTCAGGAGACACCAAAAGGAGGTGTGAGATGCTCTGTCTCCACCTCAAAGCTGGAGAGCAACAGGGAGACCTTCCAGGTAGTGGGAACGGCACGGGCAAAGGCGCAGAGGTAGGAGTCTGCACGGACAAATCTTGATCAAAACGAAAGGTTACTTAGCCACAGCAGGGGGACTGCATCACGATAGCAGCACTGAGAAGGCTATAGAACTTGCCAGAGCAAAGATCTCAAGGACAGAGGTCACAAAGTATAGCCCTTAATGGCCAAGAGGCTGCCATAGCAAGTTACATTTTTATGATGACGAATGAGTGGAAGGGCTTGGCAGTCTCTGCTCCTCAATGAGGAGCTTTGGGGGGCGGGTGCCGAATCAGCCCAACTGGCTTGCGGGGACCCTCACATCGAGCATTTCTCTGGGCTTCCCATCTATGTGTAGCTGGACCATCCCCACAGGTGTTTAGGGGAATGAGTAGTGGCATTCGCCCAGCACAGCAGAGGTCCACGTGAGAAGGCAGAAATCCCGAAGCCGTGTTCGGCTTTGGCAGTGAGACCCAGCATCCACGGACGCCTCTCTTGGATGTGCAGTTAGTTCCCCTGACAGAGGAAAACAACATTTAATACGACTTATTTATCCACACTGAAAGCAGTTACCACAGAGGTCCCCAGAGAGCCAAACATCAAATGCATAAATCACGGCTGCTTGACATCAACTGGTTTTTTTTTTTTTTTTTTTTTTTTTTGCCAAAAGTGTCTTAATCTGAGGAAACAAGCAGAGGAGATCACGGGACATTATTCTACAAGACCCTGGCCGGGACTCCTCAAAAAGGCCAACATCGTGAAGACAGAAATGGTGACGGGGACGTCCTATTCAGGGGAAGTCTGGAACGAGACAAGCAATTGTGAGAGGCGGTCTTGGGTTGTATTTTAGACTCAAGCTCTTGACATTTTTGGGACAATTGGGGATTTACATACAGATTGTTCCAGACAATAATATTGTATGAATGCTATGTTTCTTAGGCGTGACAATGGCACCATTAGGAAAGTGCACTTGTTCATGGCAGACAATTTCTTCTCTGGCTGAACCACTGAAAACTTGCAGACATGACAACACGTCGTCCAAACATCTGAGTGAGAGCTGGGGAGCAGGGTGGCAAAGTATTGAGGCTGGGGGCTCTGGGCGAGAAGTCTAGGAAAGCTCATTGGACCATTCTTTGTAATTCTGGGATCTTCACCATAGGTCAGTGTGGGGGACCGTGGTCATAGACTTCCTGTTTTCCTGAATCAGCAGCCTCTATCGGGTGTGGTCGAGAAAACCACATAAAATGGATTTATGCTCAGCGCTTTGGGGAGCCCGGAATGCACGTGGCCTTGGTTTATGATAACCATGGTGCTCTCTGCTATTGCCGGTCCCTCTGCATCTTCCCAGCTCCCCATCCCCTGCCAAACAAAGTGATTTTTGGCTTTCTTCTGGGTGGCTCAAGCTTCAAGTGTGCCCAGGGATCAGAACATCCCGGCCAAATGCTTTTGTGGGTCAAATTGGTTTTGTGCTAAGTGCCCATAAATCTTGCCCAAGCTGTCTTGTTATGTTGATGGGGAAGCCCCAGAGGCCCCGGGAGTGAAATGACTTCCAGGAGCTCAATGGAGCACAGCACAACGACAGGTCCCCTGCCTGCCACCCTGTCCTCATCTAGGGTGTTTCCAGGGTCCTGTGCCGGCCACAACTCTGGAGGAAACCCACTTTAGACCCCCAGGCAGCTGGCCCGCATGGGACAGACCCCAAGTCCATACCACTTTCAGAACAAAGTCACAGTTTGCCAGAGTGCCTCACTGATGACAGGGCCAGTGCACTGATAGGACGGGGGCATGTGCCTCTGCAGAGGGCTTCAAAGGGTATCTTGGGGCCTGTCATTTAAAAAAAATTACAAAAAGAAATGGAGCCATAAGCCTCAGTGATGGTGGTTTTTTGGTCATTTTCTCCTTGCTCACCTCCCTCTCCCGGCCAATGTGCACAGACAAGGGAGGCCTCTGAGAAACCCTGTTCTTCCCTCCAACTTCCAGCTGTAAGTGACTGTCAGTGAGAAACAGGACCCATTGGCTTCCAGATATGGATGCGGCAGAGAAAAACGACCTGCCTAGGCTTATCTGTGAGCTTCTCATACTGTCCCGATGTTCTCTTAAGGCCCTGTGCACAGATAAGGAACAGGTGAGCTGAGATTCATCAATCTCCCTCTCTTTGATGGGTGGGGTTTTAATGAGCACCTCCCAAGGAGGCTTTTGTGGGCAGTGGTCTAAGTCTATTTGCCACCTCTCCTGAAAGGATGATGGACCCAGGGGGAATCCTGGGCTGCAAATGAGCTGCTGTGACCATGCCTGAATGCAGGTATTCCCCTCCCAATAAGCCATGCACAGTGGGAGCGTGCAGATGCTTCCAAGAGGGTTCACATTTAGAGCCAGGCAGCCCCCTGTACTTAAGGGGCTGTTGCCAGGGTTTCAAGATGAAGCAGTGCAGGTGGAAAGAGCAGATCTGATACTAGCTGTAGGGATAACCAAGTATCTCAAAACCCAGAGGGGTTCAGTCCTACATAAGAGTCTAACAGGCGGAAGGCCAACACAGCACTTTCCACCCAGGATGGGTACAATGAGGATTATAGCAGGATGGTCTCTAGCAAGTGTTGCCCCCAGGGGTCTTAGAGATATTACTCTCACTTGACTTCTTTTCAACTAAGAGCTCTCTACCTTCTGTCCACTCCAAATAAGAGGAAGGTGGGCAGTGGTACTGATGATCCCTAAGTACCTACAAAGTATGCTGATTTCTAGGTACTGGATGGTGGGCTGACCATGGTTGATTCTGGTAGCACGTGGCTCTTCCTGAGCTCATTCTAACAGAAGTTGAACCCTACATCCAAACAGCCTGCTGTGACTTCGACCCCCTTGCTGAATGGGCATGGTTAACTGGGAGAAGGGTATGAGAATCACTTGGATGAATGAAAGAAATTACTAGGTGCAAGAGGGAGGAAGACCTGGGGCTAAGAAACTAAAATCACCCAGCAACAACAGATCTTCAGAAGGCTATAAACAGCAACAGAATTAGCCAGGAAAATGGTAGAGAAATCAGTGGGAAGACCTAGATTCTACCTCTGTGACCTTTAGGTAAGTGTTCACCTTCCCTGGACCTCAGTGTCCTCCTCTGAAAATAAAGGCTGTTCAGTGAGATGACTTTGGACCAAGCTTCCTCCTGGCTTTGAGGATCTGATTCTAATGCTGATTGAGTGGTAGAAGTTGGGCATCTCTGTTTAGTGCTGTTTTATTAAGAGAAGAAAGAACCTTAAACCTTTAACTCGGCCCCTGCCCTCCCTACTCTGAGATCATTTCATGATATACCTAGATAACTCCTTGGCCAGACCACAGTAGGGAAGAGATGGACCATCTGAGCAAAAGATGAACATCACCAAGCAAACCAAGGTTTGCCTCCATCCCCTAAACACTGACCATAAACAAGGATGTTTAACTTTGAAAGAGAAGACTCAGTGACCATCCTTCAAAGGGCTAAACCAGTAGCAAAGAGAAGACATAGGAGGGAAATAGAGCCAAGATAAATTACAAGTTGCCTCAGATACTTATGTCAGTGGTCATGTGAGGAGAAAAGACTTCATGCTATAATCCTTACTCCTATAGAATAGAGAATGTTTTCTACAGTTCTTGGGAATAGAGAAGCTCGTTACTTGAGGCATTCAAGCAGAAGTAGGGCTCCTATATGATCAACTTGACACAGATAGTGTAGTGTGGAAACCAGCTCTGTATGCGGGGTAGACTCTGTGTCCCTTTAATTGGCTCCAAGGGCCTGCTGCATGCCCCCAGTGGGGAAACAGGCAGGCGCCCTCTTCCGAGGGCTGAGTTAGGACATGGTGGTGTAAAGTCAGCTCCTTGGACTCTCCTGGGCTCCAGACTGAGACATCTGTCTCAGTTCTGTCAACAGCCAGCCTGTGACACTGAGCAAATCACCCTCTCAGTGCCTTGGTGTCATCATAGATCAGATCACACCCCCCCAACCATTTGAAGGCACCTCTTACAAAGGTTTTCATGAGAATCCCACATGTATTCCAGGTACACTCTTCTGAAGCAAAGCCTTCTGCAAATGCATTAGGGCTTTTATACCTCTGACCCCCTAGAGTCAACAATCTCATCCAAGAGAAAAAAAAAAAACGTGAAAAGAACTGCTGCTATTCTCTGGACAGATTTTAGAGCCCCAAGTTAGGGCCTCCCATCAAACAAAATCTTAAAACAAGTAAATCAATAAAGACCTTGAAGGTTGAGAACTGTCAACTTTGGCCTAGAGAATCTGAGGTTCGCAGACTCCTTCGAAGGCCCTGTGTCCTGGACGAAGGGGAAATTTCAACATGGGATGTAGCATTAAAGTACATGCACAGCCTTTTCAGAGGAGTCTTGAATGCTCCAGTGTTTCAGCCCATTGGCCCAAATGCTTGGGACTGGTGGCATTCAGATGTTGTCTCCTTTAAGAAATCCTGTAGGTCTACTCTTTCTAGGGAGCAAAGCCTCCTTTCTGGGAGATCTCGTTGGGGCCTTGAGACAGGCCAGTAAACGTGTTCCTTCTGAGTACAGCCAAGGTCCATTTCCATGCAAGAGCCATGAACTTCGTTTACAAAAGAGGAATGGGAGGATGGATGAATGGGTGATTTTTAGAAAATGGCAGGGATGGTAATGAGGGAAATTAAAGTCCCCTCAGTGAATCTGGAGGTCAAACTGTCCTTAAATCCTGTTACTATAAGAGCCTCCAATGTGCCATATTCTACAGCCTGATGACTTTGGGGTCATCCCCTATTGAGAGCAGGGAGGAATTTCTACACTACTCAGACAAAAATTGTCCCCTGAGATTGGCAAGTTCCCAGTAGGCCAAGACAAAGCTCCTTGCCTCTAAACTCTTCCTGAGACCAATGTGAACTTTCCCCTATTTACAAATCAAATGCAATTAGAGACGATATTTCTTGAAATAGATATGTATTTTTAATGAGGAATGCCCTGTCACTTTTCATTAGGAAAAGGAAACACAGCCACATACTAATACCCATTCTCACCCAAGCATTCCAACACAATAATTATTTATGCAGGTAGGTGCTGCACAAAATCATCAATAAGAGGAAAATAAAACAGATACTCTAGGGTTCCAACAATTTTCCCATTTCCCCTGACGATTCCAGTTGCACGGTAAATTGTTGGAACTGGAGGTGACAAAATTAAAAATGTCTTTTACAAATTAATGTTACTGGCTTTGGATTATTCCATTTCTAGTTTTCTTGTTGATAGTGCATACCAGTTTAACAAAGTGCATGCTTTTTAAAAAATGTTTGAACTGGCAAGCTAAAATGATCTGGGTTTTCTTGCCCACCCGCCCCCAAAAAAAAAACCTTAATATAATTTAGAACCTAGCATTTAGAAAACATGGCCATGACACATCAGGGATAAGGACTGCTCATGAAACATGCTTGATTTGGCAAAAGACGATAAATCTAAAACCTTGTGGGTTTGTCTTTGTTTTTGTTTGGAAGCAGCCAAAAGCAGGCTATGATATATGATGGGAAAGAAAAAGGAATACCTAATACTTCCCGTTTTGTCACAACACATGTGCACACAGAAGCACACACAACACACGCACACAGCCACTCAGTCCTTAGGGAGGAAAAGAGAAAGGAGTTAGGTCAGAGACACCACTAAGGGTGGGCGATTGAAGGCTCTGAGCGTGGTGTGCAGCTTTGGGGTGGGTATCCTCTCAGCTCTGTCTCCGTGGTCTTGGTCTCACATCTGTCCTGGGAAAACCACTGCAGAGATGGGGCAGGTGGGGTGAGAACTGTAAGGCATAGTCTGCGGGGAAGGAAGGAGGAGATCCATGCTTCATGCTCAGATGTGAGTTTCAGAGGAGGATGGGCCTGTATTTCCCTTTGGCCTGCTCTGTCTGGCTGGAAAGGTGGGGGAAAATGAGACCAAGAGACCAAGAAAGGAGGAAGGAGAGAAAGTAATAATGATGACAATAATAATAAATAAATAAGAAAAGACGAGTTGGACCAATGGAAATTAACACCAACTATGACAAATGACTTTTCTGTCCCATTTCCCTCCCCACACCTAAACGGACTTCCGGCGTTTCATCAGCCTCTGGTGGTCGGTAAAGCTGTGTAACCCAGGAGAGATGGAGCTAATAGGAGATGGGAAGAGGCTGTTTTTTAATGTGCTTGGTGAGATCTCCTCGATCTTGTAAGAGATGGAGTGGAAGTAGTGGGGGGCAAGCTTGGCGCTGAAGGAGTTCTGAGGAGCCGCTGAGCGGCCGCCATAGTCCTGCGAGCGGTAGCAGGTGCAGGAGCACACAGACTGCAGGTCCGCGACGTCCGCCTTGTACCTGGGCCGGCTGGGACGTGGCTCCTCAGGGATGTGAATGACCATGCTGTTGCGGTTTCCGGCAAGGGATGCCCTCTCTTCGGCATCCCGCCGCTCATCCTCACTGTTCATGGTCAAGAACCTGAGGACGACCAGGTTGAGGAAGGCCCCGATGACCGTCAGCCCCACCAGGATATACATAAAGCTAAAGGCCACGTAGAGTGGCTTCTTCTGCAGGGCACCCTTGGTCTGCAGGGCCACGTAGTCCCCGAACCCAATGGTAGTCAACGTGATGAAGCAGTAGTAGTAGGCGTGGAAGAAGCTCCACTCCTCACACTGGGAGAAGGCAGCCGCCCCGATGCACAGCGTCCCCATGCAGGAGAAGAAGCCCACAGTCACCATGTTCTCCATGGACACGTCAGTGTTGCGCATGCCACAGCACTTCTTGATGCGCTTCAGCAGGTAACGCACGAAGGTGTTCATGCGCTCGCCCAGGCTCTGGAACATGACCAGCGTCAGCGGAATGCCCAGCACGGCGTAGAACATGCAGAAGGCCTTGCCCGCGTCGGTGCCAGGTGCAGCGTGCCCATAACCTGTGGGGAGGGGACGAGAAGAACAGGGAGAACAAGTGAGGAGGGGTCTAGAGGTTGGGGGAAGCAGGGGTCGACTTGGTGCAGTGCAGTGCAGGGGGACGTGGTATGCTTCAGTTGGGCTGGAACTGGGGGAATTTCCTCTGCAGGGTAGAAGGGCATGGCCATATCTTGGAGGGAGGAGAACAAAGGAGAGCCAGTTTCTTAGAAGTCACATGAGGTTGGGGGATGGCAGTGGGGGTAGGAACATTTCAGTAGGGAGGGGATTGGGGATGTTATAACCTGGGATGGAAGGGAAGAGAAAAACAAGGAAGAATCAATGTCACTTGTGATATGCCACTGAGAGGGGATGGAGGGGCATTCCAGTGCCACCTTGGAGCAACACAAAGGCTTTAAAAAGATAAAAGCAGATTCACTACTAAGAGAACTCCAAAAGTACCAAGCCCAAGGGAGAAACCTCTCTATGTCCACTATGGATTGGCATGAAGAGTAGATTTTCAAAGAATGATACCCGCCATGGACCAGGCACAGTGCTAAATCCTCTTACACACATCACCTCATTCTAGCCTCTAAACAGCCATAATGATTCCAACCTCACTGACAAGAAAACTGAGTTAGTTACTTAATAGCAGGGTAGCTTGATTTCTTCAGAGTTGGGATTTCAGCCCAGAGTTTTCAACTGCCAAGAATGAGGCTCAAAAGCAGAGACTTTGAATCAAGAGAGGCGATTGCAGAGTGAGACATAAATGCCACAAAGGCATATTTTTAAAATGTTTTGTTCGCTGCTGTATTCCCCCATACCTAGAAAGTAAACTATTTAATAAAGGAATGAATACATTTGCACTACTCTATGAATGGAGCCTGGATAGAAATCAGGAAACAACCCTTAAAGACCTTATGTATGTAAGTACTTTTGAAATTCTTGATGCAACTTCATTGCGTGGTTGCTGCAGGGAATCCAAGTGAAGCCTTTATTTTCTCACATTCAAAATGAAGGCAATGATGTTGAATAGGTGAAGTCAGCTGCAGGGTCACCCAGCTGGTCAGTGACAACGTCAGAACCAGGATGGGCTCTTCCCAATACAGCAGAAGTAACAAGGGACTCAGTAGGTTCAAACTGTGGCACTAACACTACCCAGAATAAAAACCTGGATCGTGGACAATATTTGGACTGAAATTTTGAGGGATGTACCCGGTCTTCCAACATCCAAAATCCTGCCCATCGAGACAGATTTCCCTGACGTAACCCTGTCACATGTTCATGGTCACTTAGCTTGCTTCTTTACCTTGGGTTCCATAAGCTTTTCCAAACCCATGTGTCTTTATCTGTTACATGGGATTGGTGGCATTGTATGGATCTGCCGAGATCAGACAGCTCCTAGCCCAGAGTCTGATACACAGTAGGGATCTACCAGACCCCAGGATCCTCTACCACTGCCTCTTGCAGGAAGCTGCCTCTGACTGCTCTAGCTCATGTTTCTTCATCAGGGTTTCATTGCCTGTAGCTCAGTCTGCCTGTCTCTGGTGGTGCGAATATGTGCCATGACCTACCTACCCCCATGGGCCAAACTCTCACTTGAGAAATAACATCACATATTTGCCTCCAGAAGGCCTTCTCCCCATCCTCTCTGGCCCTCAATCCCAGCTAGCACTGAGCTCTGACACCCCTTAGTCCTTACGAAAGAAGAGATGATGTGACAAAGTTAGGCCAGAAAGGACAGGGTGGGGAAAGAGAAAAGCTGAAAAAAAGAGAATATATATATCAATTGAAATTATCCAATCTGAAAAGCAGAGAGGAATAAAGCCTTGGGGGAGCTGCAGGGCAATATCAAAAGGTGTCCCAGAAGGAAAGAGAATGAGACAAGAAAAAGAAGAAATATTGGCCAAAAGTAGCCAAATTTAGGCCGGGCGCAGTGCTTTACACCTGTAATCCCAGCACTTTGGGAGGCCAAGGCAGGGGGATCACTTGAGGCCAGGAGTTTGAGACCAGCCTGGCCAACATGGTGAAACCCCATCTCTACTAAAAATACAAAAATTAGCCAGGTGTGGTGGCATGTACCTTGTAGTCCCAGCTACACAGGAGGCTGAGGAAGGAGAATCACTTGAACTCAGGAGACAGAGGTTGCAATGAGCCATGATTGCGCCACTGCACTCCAACCTGGGTGACAGAGCAAGACTTCATCTCAAAAAAAGCTAAATTTGATGAAAGACACAAACTTATAGATTCAAGAAGCTCAGTGAACCCCAAGCAGGACAAATACAAAGAAAACCACATGCCAGAGTCGAGCTGCTTAAAGTCAGAAAATAATGAAAGCAGCCAGAAAAAAACAATTATACAACATACAGGGAAACAGCAACATAATATTGCTTACTTCTAAACATAAGCAACAGAGGCCAGGAAGCAGTGGAAGCACGGCTGTAAAGAACTAAGACTGCTCACTGGGAATTCCACATCCAAAGACATTTTCAAATTAAGCAAAACCAACAGAGTTCAGTACCAGCATATCTGTACAACAAGATTACTGAAGGCTGCTCTGTCTGGGGAGAAGGACACCAGATGGAAAGTTAGGTCTTCAGGAAAGAAGGCACATCTTGGCAAACAAGTAGGGTAAATGTAAAAGATTGCAGGGGTGGGAATCCTACTCTATCTCCATATAGCTCACCCGTAGAGCTGATACAAAAAAAGCCAGCTGGAATGCTGGAGAATAACAGAAGGTTGTTGGAAACTTAATAAGTGGAAATGTTCCGTATGTGATATATTTACTAGAAGAAGTCAACACAGCATTTTCTGGGTCAAAAACTGCATACCAGGTGCCACAGTCCCCCACCCTGACTTCTGTTCCTGCTAGTAAAAATAAGAAGCAGTTTGCCTTGGCAGGGCTTGGACAGCAGTACACTGGTATGTCCTGTCTTAGGCTTATGTCAATTCTCCTGCTGTCTTACTAGAGCATGAAAACACTTGATCATTGACACCCCACGTGTTTCTCACTGGTCCACTACATCGATGACATCCCTTGGTAAGATACACGCATGAGAGAGTATGGGAGATGAACAGCACTGAGGTTCGGGGGTCTTCCACATTAACACATTTCCTGGGGGCCCAGTGGTCTGGGGAACAGGACCATTCCCTCTAAAGTGAGAGACAAGGCCTTCCAGGAAAAAGGCAGTGCAGGGTATCCTCCCCAGTCCTGTTCAGGTGTTGCCAGCCACAGCCTGCTCTCTACCGTGGGAGCTACAGCAAGTGTCCCTTTGCCCTCTGGTTTCCAGTTGGGTCCATCCAATGGACGGTCCCAGTAGGTCAGAGGAAGGGAAGAAGAGGACTTCGGCAATTAGCTGCATCTGCCAGCAGGCTCACGGCAGCTACTCTCTACAAGTTCCAGGAACTGCACCCTTGGTGTGTTAATAGCTCTCCACTGGTGTTCCACATACCCCTCATTGCTGCCCCCCAACCCTGCCTATGTGTTCAAGAGGAATTTATCAATAGCCCGTTTATTAATCATTCAGTGTGAGAGCTGTATTTCCTGCAGAGACCCTGTTATCCCCTCTGTTCTCTCCTGGGTCTGTTTCACAAATCTGTTTATGATAGAACACTGCAGGTACTGTGTACAAACAGGTCTGCAAATATTAAGTCCACATGTCAGATGTTCCCAAATACCTGTATAGAACACACATACACGGCATCCATGAAGACTTCATACAGAATACACACAGTGTATACTTAGAACCTAATGTGTAGAATAACAGCACATGTGACAGTATATACAGATAGATTAGACCAAGAGGCTCATATAACTACAGCACACCCATATTCACCAGCAAATATTGTCTATGCAGCGTGTGTGCCTATAGAACACACATGACACAGGCTGTGTATGTGCCACACCTATGTGTATGCTGCCGACTGCACACATGTACCTGGATACAGCATGTATGCTGGATACATGACAGAAGATGGCCTCTAAGCTCTTCCTAAGGGGAGAATGAGGTACAAATCTAATACATTCCCCCAGCACCTGTGTGACAACTCAAGTCTTGAAAGACTATTTGTTCCCATCTGCAAATGAACATATCCCAATACCCGCCGCCCGGGGGTCAGAAGACGTATTCATTCATCAACTCATATGTTACCCGTTCAGACAACTCCAGAGACTTGACTGTGCCCTGGGACCTGCTCTTGGCACAGGGGATTCCTGCAAATCTCCCAAGGGGCTCCAGCCAGCCTGTACCCAACACGAGCAGGTGCAGATAGAGGCTGGGACATGGATGTAGAAAGGCCACAAGTGACCCCTGGGCTCTGGTCCTGGTCACCTCCCACCCCACCTGTGAGTTCAGGAACCACACATGCCCATATGGATTTTCCCCCTAGGACTCCAGGCTCCTATAATACCCCACACCCACCAGGCACTACAAGGGGTGACCTTCTCCATCTGAGGACCACAGAGGTGGCAGAACCTCAGAAGTCCCACCTACCGCTGGCCACCCTTCCCTCGTCATAAAGGGATCACTCGTCCCTTTGGCAACAAGACTTCTGAAATGGATGTGCACAAAATTCAGGAGGCACACATACAGCACCAAAGGTAGAGATAACGAAACCAGGACTCCCAGAGCGGCGCCGCAGCCTGCGGGCGAGGTCCAGCCAAGCAGCCTCAGTCACCCGAACCACTTTACAGATGTGGAAGATGAGGCTACAGGAGGGAGATTGGATCAACTCACAGCTGCCCTGCAAGAGACCACATCATCCTTACCCAACCCAATGCCTGGCACCCCCTACAGGCACCCAGCCAACAGCAGGGCCCTAAGCCAGAGCCCCAAGCCAGAGTCCCACCAACTGAGGAATGCAAAGGCCACACACAGGGTACAAAGCCCCTGCACACAAGGGACACAGCCAGCCCACACTGCTCATCTCCAGAGCTTCACCGCCTGTTTTGCTGATGTCTAAGGGGATGCGGAGTTCGAGACATGCCTGCCTTTGGGACCTGGTACTGGTCCGGATGGCCAGGAGG